TCATTTAAGATTATTTTTTTGTTGAGGCAGAAAATTGCATTGATTTCTTTGATTGTCTAAAAGAAGTTTGAGCCTTTTTATCATTTCAACCAAATTTAAAACATTCCAATTTCATTGAATTTTTTTAAAAACTTTCTTTTAGTTTTTTTAAGAAACAATTTTTGTCGATTGAAGCGAAATTGTCGGCTCAAAAATGAATTGCTTTGATTCATTTCAAATTTTCAATTAGTTTTGCAATACTGCCAATTATTGTTGCCAGCAGTTCAGAGTAGATTAATAACCTTAAACTTCCGAATTATAACTTAAACAATTTCAAAACAAAATTTCTCATTTCTTCAAATAATATAAATAAATAATAACTTTGATACACAAAGATTTCAACAAAATGCGTTGAAATTTTTCATTATCGTCGAAATTTTACGACAAAAATGTTTTTTCTAAAAGTTAACTTATCGTTTAAATTTAATAAAATTTTGCTCAAATTTTTTCCCTTTTTTCTTTTCAAAAAAAACAAAAATTTCATGCTATTCAAATCAGTTTGTTGGAATTTTGTTTTTTCTATATCAGTGCCTTTCAAAAATTTTGAAATTGAATGGATGAAATCATTATGTTAAGGGAATTTAATAATGACAATTCGTATCTTCAAGGATCGCTTTGAGGGACTCTTTAGTTATTCAGTATGCAACTAGTCAGTACTATTAAATTCTATGTCTTTCAAAACAGATTTTAAGGATTAAGAAAAGATAAATTTTAATCATTAAAAATTATTGATGAATAATTTGTATATATTTAGGCTATGATCCACATCGTTTGCTTATTTATTTACTTGATGTTACTAAATCCTGATTAGACATGGCAATATTTGATACATTTACAGTATTCATTCAATTATAAGAATGATTGATCGAAGAATAAACAAATCGTTATTGATGATATCTTTTTAAATTTCAGGTTATTCAATAATTCATTCTTTAGCAAAAGCAAAAAATAGATAATCCATAAATTTATATTGAAATTGAAAAAGAGAAACGCAACACATAAACGTTTTAATTTATGTTTGAAAAGATTGCTTGGAACTTTCTAATATCATTGCTCTTACGAACGAAAATAACGAAAATATCCGTCATAGTTATGAATGCCTACCAATTTTCCTCATTTTAGAATTTCTCTTATTTTCTGAAATCCATATTAGATTAACCTCTACTTCGTACCTGCACAACAATATCAGAAATCATTAGCAGGTAGATTTCTTCCATTTCATTCACAATTAATCCACATAGGTTTGGAGTGATGCTCCATGGATTCTTATCAGTGCATTAATTTCTTAAAATTTAGTGATTTTATCATCAATGGTCACTTTTTTCGTCAAATTTCATATTATCATTCCTCAGCATTACTTCGATGTCAGCGCAATTTATCTTGTTATTTTTTTTAAAGAAGTTTACGAGTTTTTAAATTTGTTAGAAATTGAATGTTATGTAAAAAACATTTCAAAATGTTTGCTGAAAATTACTAATTGAATTTATAACTGATAAATTATCAGTATTCAATTCTGCAGAAGTCAGAGGAGTGAATTAGGTCCATTATAACACTTTTATAAATCGATCTTTTGAATTTTGTAGTAATTTTTAATTTGTTGAATTATGCTTCTTTATCGATAGCTTATCGCGTTTAGTGATTAGTTGAAAAGTGAATCGACTGATTTTCAGTTATAGTAAATAATTTCTTCTTAATAAGATTGAAGTGATTAAAGATTCGTGGAATATTTTCAGCAACAATCCAGTTTTTCTGGACGATGGCAACTGATATTAATTAAAACTCCATTCATCTCTTTTGTTATTTTATAATCGTTTTCTTGAAAATATCCGAAATTCCGTTTTGTTTATCATTTTTTTCCTCTCTCTCTCTCAAGTAACTATCTATTGCATTTTACCCGAATTTACTGATAAGAAGTGATTTAAATTTATAGAAAACTCATCCCCAAATCAAATTTAACGACCAAGGCATGTTTTTCAAAAACTTTAACACTTGCAAATTGCTAGATCTCTTGGGATTCAATTAAGAATGAGTTGAAAAATAAATCAATTTATATGATCAAGCAAAGAAAAATTCACTTGTTTGATTGTCATATATTAAATATAATGGGAATGAATATTTCCGGAAACGAATTCAGGAAAATCTTCCTTCCTCAGAGCTAAACCATTTAAATAGTATCACTTATGCAGTTTATCTTGCACTTGTAGCTTGTAGTGAAGAGGGAAAAAGCACCTGAAATTTCCTGAAGAGGACAATTTTGCGCTTGCTTACGCAATAATAGGAAAATTAAAAGTTATCCTGAAATGTCCGTCAGTTTTGAGTAACGACTCTTCTTTCTTTTATCGATTAAACTTTATCATTTTATCTTTTTTTGCAACGCAGTAAACTCAGTAAGCGTCGTACTCTTTGATGAACTCATTTTATTTATTCAGCAAATGTAAAGGTTAATTATTTATCAAATTAAGTGCAAGTTGGTGAGATAACAAATTAATCAATTATTATAAATGATTGAAGAACGTATCAAACACTTACAGTATACATTCATTTTTCTCACTTCTCGATTTTTTCCAATAAGTTATTCATAACTATTCATTTGCGTAATTTTATGCGCTTCCATGGCTACAAAGTAGATTAGGCTTTCCAGATAAAGAAACTTATAATCTTATCTGTTGAATTAATTTATATTACGATTACTTTATCGGTGATTAGCTCTTTCAATGCATTGCATAGATTATACTGCAAACTATTTCCTACCTTCCCATTCTACCATTTCTTCATTTTTATTAGTCATGAAAAATTCTGAAAAAAAAATCGAAAAACAAGATGTCGCAAAAAACTTAGCATAATAAAAAGTATGCATAACATTTACACTGAACTTCGAAATCTGAGAAATTCAAAAGATAAATGTGTTGAGAATTTGTAAATGAATTTTCTGTCAAATTTTCAGCTCAGAAAATTTATAATTTTCGAAACATTTCTACCACTTTATATGAAATAATGAGGTTGGGCCTAAAAAAATACTGACAGATGAAAAGATATTTGACAGATAATAAGTGAGGTCATATAAAGAATCCTGCAATTTTTAATTAAACCACGAATATTTCAAAACATATTAGTGAAATTTTTACTAAATTATAATTACTGTGATAAAATTTCCCTTTTTTTATTTCAGTGAAATTTAGAATCGATTGATGATTCCGGTTGACCCTTTGTTGACAACATTCCATTTCCATAAATTTTTATCGATTATCATAAATAAGGTAAATTAAAGAGAGGAAAAAATGAAAGAAAATAAAATATTTACATATTCGAAATGAATGAATACCGTTCCGGCATTAACTGTTGTAATCCATTCCGGAATAAAAAAACATCCCGTAATTGCAAGATATTGAGGGATCGGAAAAAAGAAAGATTACAAAATAAAAATGGAAACAAATTGAAGAGTTAATGACAGAATTATATAATCGTATGAAGCGCAATTGACTAAGAATATCTAATGAACAAAAACCTATCATTTCATTTCTTTTAACTTCCCAATATAGCCATACTTTTCGCAATATTTGCGCTTTTTCTCTTTTTTTAATTCTTAAAAATTAATTTACAAGCAAACAATATGAAATGAACCGATCGACGACTGGTCGGTGTGAAAATTAGAAATTTACTAAGTGCTATTTGTCCATAAATCTATCAATTAATTATCCTTTTCCTAGCAGATTGATTGATATTATTCATTTTATCATTTTTTCTTTCCTCTAAATTAATAATATTTTGAATTCATTTGAATAATAATGTTATTACATTATTACTACCTGTTCAAATGAATCATAATGAATTTGAATCAAAAATTTTGCTTGCAAATTTATCTACAGACATAACAAACATATAAATTAAGCAAGAAACAATAGATGGATTAGAGAAATTATAAAAAATTTTCGATTATGATTAATTTTAATTGAAGAATTTTTGTTTACTTTATGAACATACCATTAAATCATACCTTTAAACATACCTTTAACATACCTTTAAATAGATTTGATGTGAGACTTATAAGTATTTTGAGAATCGAAAACAAATCACACTAAGAGAATGTTTGATAAAAATACTGAATAAATTTATGGAATTTATGAATTTCTAAAGTAATTCTGTTAGTTAAGAATGTAAGAAATAAATGGAAGAGTGTCTGACTGTCATTAACAGATTAATTTCACAGAATAATTAGTGCCAATTGTTTTTAGTTTATTTTTTATCAATTTTTTTAACTGATATTTGCATTTTTCTCTGTAAAATGTAGAAAAATCTTTTTTTTTTTTAAATTTTTTAATCAAATCTTAAATTAATTTTAATTATAATTACAATTATTTATGCTAAATTTAATTCTATCAATTGAAAATGAAAAATAAAAATGAAATTTTATCGATTATTTAAAAAATGAAGAAAACGAAGAATTTCAATTTTAAGCCTTAAGCTTTAAGTAAATCCCACTTTTCTTTTCTTTGACTGAAAATGATTGAAATACGTTGAATTAGTTGATGGCTGTCTACAAATGGAACAGTTTAATGAACAGAACTAACTTAGTTTGATTAAATTCAAATAGCCTTTTGCCTGATGAATGTAATAGAAAATTAAAGAAAGAAGAATGTTTCATTTTCTTTCATTTAATAATTTTTATTAATTAGCTTATTATCATCCATTTTTATTATCATTCATTCTATCTGATAACTATCATATCATTTAATTTCTTCTCATTAATTCTTTCCTACTTTCTGTTTACTCACCTTTTTTTCTTTTCAATCTTACTTAATAGAATAATAAACTCTTTCATATCTTCCCACACTATGCTCAACCTCTTCAACTTTGTTCAAAATTCTCCACCCCGTCATAGCACATCAATAGTTGAAATTATTTCAACAATAAACTTTAGCACTTGTTAATTTTAAAATTTAAAAAAAAATTTTAGCATTAAAATGACTTTGGGACAAGATCCGAATGATACCGAATGTATCTGTTCCGATTTGCAACACGGTGATTATTCGTTAGCATATGAATGGTATGTATTGTCTATCATTTGTTGTTATTTCTTTTAATTTAAAAAATTCATATTGAAGTTTGATTAATCCAAAAAAATGCTTAATTTGCAACTATCAAAATTTTGGTTAGCTATAAACTTTAAACTTTTAAATTTTAATTTTCCACTTTTTTGGATATTTATAAAAATCAGAATTAGGAATTTTTGGCTTTATTGGCCTTTTATTTTTCTGGCCTCAAACTCTCTTCCTTTTTTTTCATTTCTAATATTTTAAAACTATTCATTAAATATTTAGGTTTAATTATATAGCAGTGATTATTTTATTGCCAACAATTTCGGTTTTTGGTGTTGCATCAAATATTGTTAATATTTTTATTTATTCTCGTCAAAGGTTAGTTATAAATTTGACAATAAAAGTAAAATAAGTTTTAGTTTAAAATTTGAAATTCAATGATGAATTGAAATAAAAGTTTCGGTTGTTATTTGCAGGATGCGTAATTCATCCAATACCTATTTATTATTTCTTGCTTCCAGTGATTTTTTAGTTGTTATAACGGGTCTTTTCATTTTCTGGATCGATTCCGCAAGGTAAGTTACCCTTTTTACCTCAAACTTGCTAATATGAAAGGACTGAACAACAATAAGAATGTAAATTAACAAAAAATCAGTCCTTTGAATTCAAATTTGAATTTTTATCACTTTGAAACGGTATTTTGGTTCAATAATAAATTCTGTTGTAGAACTTAATTTGCATATAGCAACAAGTTCTGATTCGATGATCTTCAGGACTTATATTCCGGAATTATCGCGTGCACCTTACACAATGGTCTATGCTTTGCCTTTCGGATATATGGCGCAAACATGCAGTGTATATTTCACTGTTGCGGCTGCTATCGATTGTTATATTAATGTTAGCTATTTTAAGAAACTATGAAAGAGATGAGAAGAAAACTTAGTGTAAGAGATTGACGTGAAATAATCTGTATGTGGAACGTGAGAAATACATCCTATGGGACTTGAGAAATACATCCTTAATTCCTTATAATGTAAGAATCCGTTCGATTGGAAAGTGATGTCATGAAATTATACTGAAATTTTAAGGTGTGTTGGAAAACATTAAGTGCAAGCTATTGTACAATTCGACGTGCGTGTAAAATAAACACGTGTATAACTATATGCGCTATCATCTATAATTCATTACGTTTCCCACAATTCAAGTTGAGGAAATGCTTGCATAATGGTTCAAAGGTCATTTTTCAAACAAAATCCAATCTTAACACTTCACTCAGTATGGGATAGAAGTTGCACGAGAACTCGGTAGTTTTAAGAAGAAAATGAGAAAGAGCTGTAACTTGTTCATCAATTATCAATGTGACATTGGTCATCAATGACCCCTAATTAGTAGATTAAATGAAACAATAGTCAAATTAAAGCTTCTATTACCAGACTAGGAGATTTGGGTATTATGAATCATTAGAAATATAAGAATATAAACTTTGATATAATAGTTTTGTTCTCAGTATGTTTTGAAATTTCGGTAATGTAATTTAAAAATAGAAAAATTTTGATGGCCTTAATTCAGAAACTTTGTTGTGAAAATTTGAAGCATTCTCCATCCTCTATACGATTTTCTCATTTATATATTTTATGTTACTTATAGCAATAATCATTTTTCCATTTCTGTACAACTTTTTCTTAATTACTTTTTACACTTAACAATTCCGCCATATCTTTTCAATTACTTGAATTTTAGGAGACAATAGTGGAAATTTGTCCGACCTCTTTATTCTTTGCAATCAACACAATATATAACGTATATATGTATATGGTGCTCATGACCTTACTTCCTTTTCTATTTCTATCCATTTTAAATGCCATCATTGTTGTGCAGCAATCGTCGTAAGTTTTGAGCACTTTCCCCAAATATGTTTATCAAATGGAAATGGAAGAAATGAATGATTGAAATGAGATCGATCCTGAAGTAATAGAAATATCTTCGAAAGCTTTAATTTATCTAATACTAAGTAATTTTCCATAGTAATCGATACGATATGCTTAACTAAGAAAGCATTTGTTAGGTAGCTTTTGATGCTATTAAACATCTGTTCAATTTTTTTCTTTTAAATTAAATTATAATATAAAGTTTTTTTGGTTGACCTCTTGACATTGCAATATGTTGATATTGATTTTGATTGATGAAGCAAGCAAATTCAGGCAAACTTAAACTCATGGTAATTAGCAAATTAAATAATATCAATATCATATGAATAAGAATGTCATTAATAAGGCAAACTTAGGTTATAAACCTCATCTAGGCTTGTTTTAATGTTAATTATATTCTCCACACTTTTGAAGATATATATTTCCCTCATTCTATACTTTTACTTAATTAATAATCTTTTTTCTTCATTAATTGCTATTGTATTTTAATTTCATTTTTTAACTATTTTAATTCCTTCAGATATTTTCTTTCTTTTTGATATAATAATATCATTTAATTTCGTTCGTTCATTCCTATGAATGAAAATTTTAAGAAATAAAATTTATAGTTTATCACAATCAAATTCGACAGATTTCGTCGAAGATAATGCTTCTCGAATTACCATAACAGGTGAATTCTATACTATTAAACAAATTTAGGTAAATTTTATTGCACTGAGTAAAAAATACTCAAAATATCATCTTACATCAGTTGAAGCATTTTTCAGCTTCCGGTGATAGTATAACAATGATTATGGTGGTTATTTTGTTCTTATGCTGCAATGTTTTGGTATGAATTGATCGATCGATTTTTATTGCTTTAAACGTTGATTAAAAAATTTTTAGCAATTTATTAGCAACATTAATTATCTGAATTTATGATTTAGTAGTACAACTATCTCACTCTCAAATGAAATCTTAAATTTAATTTAATTACTAAATAATTTATTTACTCTTATATACTATCAATAATTTGTAAAATATAACATAAATTTTTGAAAAAGAAAATTTCCAAAAGTTCTGAACACATTAATATATAAAAATAATTAATTCATCATTAATTATGAATGAATACTTATCAGATTTTTCATTTTAAACACATCAATTTATCAAATGAATCATTTTTTTGCATTGAGTTGTAATTAATGAGCGAAAGTAAAAAAGTGAAGGAAAATTGTTACATTTATCTCTTATCATATAATCTTATCATATAATATGATACAATCATTCCCTAAAAGAAATCGACCATTTCAACAGTACCACAATATTTTTCTTTTCAATTTTATTTTTAGGCATTGATAGTAAATGTGATTGAAACATTCTTCGAACCAACCACTTTGCTACTCAATTTCCTCACCGATACTAGCAATTTCCTAGTGATTTTAAATTCATCTATTAACTGTCTCATTTATTACACCTTTAATAAAGAATACAAGGAAGTCTTTTTGTAAGTGTTTCTAATTTCATTTTTTATTTTCATACATTTTTGAAATCATCGATGATAAAATGATTTAATTTTATTATAAAACAAATTATTCATTCAGGATAAAGATGCAAACAATTAAACAACAATTAATTAGCAAATGTTTGAAATGTAATGCCGATCGAACACAGTTAGAATCATTTAATTCCACTCCTGCTATTGCACAAATTTTAAAAAACAATTCATCAGGGCAGGGTAAGTATTTTTGAATTTAAATTTTAACTTTTCAAAAATTAATTTATTCGTTGATGTTTATTTCTCACTTACTCATTCATTTACTTATTTACTCACTCACTTACTTAAGTCAAATACATTCTAATGAATTCTTGACTTCTTTTAAAATGAATTTTCCTATATTATCAGATTGTTTTTTTGAGTTTCAGAAGAAGTAATTTGCAAGAATTAAGTTTCTTGAAAGCTATCGAATTTCTTGCGTTCTTATTTTCTTCAACGAATTGAAACGAAAATATGTATTTCTATTTTTTTCAGAAGTGGTAAAATGCGATTTACCGATCTGGAAATCTATGTATCGTCCAATTAGAAATTATAATTCATTTCCTGTAACAAATATCGATAATGCAAACAATTCAAATATTCCAGTTGGTAAAATATATTGAATTGTTTTCGAAATTCCGTTTCTTCCATTTTTTTTTCAAAAGTTGTGCAATTGCAAATTAAAGTGATAATTTGATTATTTAAATTTAAATCTTTATTTTAAAATCTTTATTTATTTGATTTTATTTTTTATTTAAATTTAAATCTTTATTTAAATTTAATATTTAAATTTAAATCTTTAGGAATTTCGAAAATTTACTTTGATTTACCATTTCTTTGTACGTGTAGGTCTTTGCACGTGTTGCTTGGAAATTTTGCTAGATGATGACGGTGGAAAATGTTAAATTTAACAGTGGTTGGGTAAATACTATTAATATTAAAGCCAGTTATCAATTAACCTTTGAAATTATCTTGAAATTAATTCCTCTGCCTCTTTCATCCTTACTCTAAACAATCGGTGGCAGCAGCCCAAAAGTAAACAATTTCAATTCCTGGTATTAATATATTCTATAAATAGGTAATTAAATAATTGTAATTTTTTCTTTTATTCATTACTATAAAAAAAGATTTTAATTGTAAGGATGTATTTTGCAGGATGGTACACTGTCGAAAACAGATAGTATGACAGAACATTGCATTGCATAGATAAAAATTGAACATGGTAATGAATCTTACACTTATTCACATTCACATGTTTATGTTTTGCCTTTATGAAAATACGTAGTGGGAAATGTTAGTATCACAACTTTGTAAATAATTATAAAATTTGAAATTGAAATCACTGCTAATGATATATTATCATATTGCTTTATGTTTTTCAAATGCAAACTATTGGGTATTGAATGTTCAAAAATGTAATGTATTTTCGATTTAATTATGTTATTTATTTAATAAGCAAAAAAAATTGTAAATTAAAAAATAAAAAATGAAATTGAAATTTTGTAAAACAAAAGAAATTTTAATTATTAACATTGATTTTTGAATAAAAATATAGTAATTGGTCCTAAAGAGAAATAGATATGATTTGTTGGATCGTATCGCGCATAAAATCCCAAATTTCCATCACTTACGATACAGTGCCATGGTGAGCCATATTTATCCTCGAAATGGGACATTATATATTGAGCTATTGCCATATTGTGATTTGAATGCCTAAACAATTTATTGATTTCTTATAATTTTTTTTATAAATATATTATTTTAAAATTATATAAAATTTACGAATGAAGAATTGGCTATGGAAGGTAAGTTAATGAAAGCAAATAAATTTAAAGTGAAAAATTTTAAAAAGAATAAGTGAAGAAAATACTAATTGTAATAGCTCATATTTTATGCAATTTGTGTTGAACGATATTTTTGGATGCATTATAAATAAATATAGTTTATTGCAAATATATTTTAATTGACGAATTGAAATAGATTTCAATAGATCACAAATAAATATTGTTGTTAAAGTGATAAAACATTTCAAAATTTTGTAAGCTCAAAAATTTGGAAATAAAATAAAATATCATTGATTTCATTATTTATCTTTATGTTTAGTTAGTTATCATTTCATTCATTCTTTCTATTCGAAACTTAATTAAGTAAAAACTTACTGCGCAATGGCTTCATTAGCGCATTGGACTGCATATTGTTGTTTTTCCGTATCCATACCTGATGCCGTAATTCGAGCATTTGCAATTTCGGTACCGCAGTTTGGATTTGGATCATCGATTGTTTGGGGATCTGACATAATGTTTTTCGATGGTGTCTTAAATAAGTCCTGAGAAAAAACCAGTTTCTTTTGGAATTGAAGAACTTTCAGGATAATCGTATAAGTATAAGGCAGTGATGAAATTGAGAATAAACTTCCTACAAAATTTCGAATTAATAATATTCAAAAATGAGATTGTTAACAAATATAGTTATCAAAAAATTGAATATTAGACCGTATCAGAAGTAATTTATATCATAAAATCTAAAATTGAATTAAAAGAAATGAATTTGAAGAATATGAAATATAAATAAGAAAATTTTGAAAATTGAAAATATTTTGAGAGCTGTGAGAAAATGTTAAATCTAAAAGTATTTGAAGAATCATTCAACGATTGTTTTGTTACGCTTCAAAACATTTCAACAAAACGAAAATATATTATTCTTTGAACAACAGTTACTATTAAGTTAAAGTGTTCCAAAACAAGAAAAGAATAAACAGTACAAATGTAGGTAAATATTTTGGTACAAAGAAAAGAAGACATTTGCGCCGTGTTAGAAATTATATTCAGTGAATTATTATCAGTAATTTCTCCATCCAATGATAAAGATATCAATGCAAGAAAGTTTGCTTCCAAATAATATTAACTTTTTTTAGTTTTGAGCATTTTCAAATTCATAGAATTTGGAAATAATATTGCAAAAATTTTTTAAATTATTTTCTTCCAAATGAATTATGACAATCTTTGAAACAATGAAAAGGAAAATAAAAGAGCACAAAAGATTATAAGAGTTTATATTCAATTTTTTAAAGCAAAAAATAGAAGTAATAACGATATTATTAATTATTCAACAGAATTAGTAATTGCGAAAAACAATTAGATGAAATTGATAATTATTGATAGCGATGATTGATTACAGCATTGATAATGACAGTTGCAAATGTCATAATATTATTTTCTTGTAATTGATGGCGAAAATTAGATTTAATCTTATTAAATAGGATAATCATCAATTTTCACAGAGGGACTAATCAAGGAATCCGTTTAATGAAGTAAAATTATTAAAGAATTTTTTGTTTGAGAGTGATTTTTTACGAAAATTCTAATCCTTCGATCTGTTCAAAATTACTACAAAAAAGAAGAAATTTTGGGATTTCATATTTCACTGATAAAATCCGTATTTTAGAAGGAAAATAAAAGAAGAAAAAGTGTTATCTTCCATTATCGATAATACGATAAATGAATTTAAATCAAATCTGATAAGTTATATTTTTTTAATTGATTATAAAACTGAAAATTCGCATTCTGAAAATGAATTTTTTGTTTTTTTGTTTTTCAAAACTTTAATTAAAATTTTTTTAATATTTAGAAAATTCTAAAATTTCCAAAAATATTCTTTTATTATTGTTATTTATTAATTTACACTATTAGCTACCTGATATCATGATAATTTTTATACAATGATTAAATAATTAATATTTTGTTCATGAAGTAAAAGTCTTATAGAGAAAAATAGTGTGTCGTGATAATGCGAAATAAATATAATTCTGTCTATCGTAACGTAGATAGAATCCCAATTGTCCATTGCTAACAACACAACACCATGGTGGTCCATAACGCTCCTCAAAATTCATCATAATATGACGCGCAATTGCCATCATTTGATTTGGGAATCTGAAACATCATATATCATATATCAAAACAATTTTAAATCATATATCAGATAAATCATATATCAGAACAATTTTACATGTTTTATATCAGTTGTCGATATTATGCATTATTGTCTGGTTTTTGTTCTGATATATGATTTATCGTATAATCTGATAATTACAATTGCGTCGAATAAATGATCTCATTTAAATGCTAAATTTAGTCGATTATATTTAATTTAATTAAAAGTATTTTGCTTTAATAAACGACAACTGATATAAGACATGTAAAATTGTTGACAAATGTGATTTGAATAAAATGATTGTTGCAAAATTCATTCTTAATTAATTTCATTGATTAATTTCATAAAAAGATAACACTTACTGAGTAAGAGCTTCTCTAGCAAGCAATGATGCATATTCTTGCATTTCTGTATTCATACCGGTAGCAATAACTTGGCATACTTCAGATTCTGTTAATGCTGGTATCGGTTCTGCATGATGATGAGAAGGGGGTTCTGGTAATTCTGAATGATGAGGATGAACCGGAAATGATGATTGGTCTACACTTGGTTGTGGAACGTTCGATTCTGAATGTGGAAGTACCGGAGGTGTATTAGATTTCTCGGGTTGTCTTGGCTCCTCTGGCTCTACAGGTTCTATTTGCTGTAGTGGTGGTGGTGGTGGTAGTACATCATATTCATACAGTTCTGCTCCCTCATTATGATCATTATCAAATTCTCCTCTACCTTCTTCTGATTCATCAGCCTTAGGTGTTGTAAAATTAGCGCCATCTTCTGCTTGATCAATCGGTGATAAATGTCCTAGTGTATCACTTTTTACTTGATCCGTATTCTCCGTTGACTTTCCAACATTACCGGTACCATCATCCGCTCCTATATCAGATTCTTTAGCTTTTTCACCGCTACCGTTGTCACCAATATCATAATCATATGGTAACAAAGTTATTTCTTCTCCAATCCCCTTGAAAATAACAATTAATATAATTTTTGAATTTTCTTACAAAATAATTTTTTTAATTGAAAAATCAATAAAATCCTTTGTTACATTAAACTATTGCATTATTTGGAAATAATTCAACAAATCCTTATAAATTCAGTATGTGGAATGAATGAAAATTGAAACTTACAGTCATGAAAAGTGGAAGATAGCAATGATAGAAATATAATTTTGCAATGTGAGAAGAGGAAAGGAAGAGATAAAATTTAATAAAACATTGAAATGTTGTTCAGTTCAGGCTTACTATTTTTTATTTACTTCATTGCGAGAAGGGAAAGATTGAAAAATAAGTTAAAAGAAACAGTGTAAAGTGTAAAATAACAGGTGCGCATCTGTTTATTACCATATGCTTGAAAATTCATTCCTTTCAATTCTTTTTCTTCCTAAGCAGATCAATCTTTGTTAACTTATCATCTATTTAGCAATAGAATTTTATTAATTAAACACAGACTAATTTCATAATTTTCTAAACAAAATGAAATAGAAATAAATCAAAGACATATGGCATTAAAATGAAGTAAATATCATTTAACATTGTTGTAATAATTATGGTAATGAACATTGATTGTCGAATGATTATTAAAATGCAAATTTAGTTAATGTTGAATTTATTCAATAAATATCTAATTTATTTTATGATAAAATACAGAAAGCTTGTTATACTTCGATACGTTTTATAGTAAGATCGAGAAATACAGTAATTTCATTCAACTGTTAATTGATATTTTGTGAAATGAATGATATTGGTGATAGTAAATTTATACCTGAATGGCTTTCATTTTTTATATAGCAATGTTTACAATGTGAAACAGTAATTTTAAACAATTTAAGAAACAATATAAAATTCGAATTCATCGATTTTTTTTAATTACATAAATCAAATTAATGAGTATTTTCATGCTATTTAATTAGAAGTCATTAAAATTTGTTTGGAATGAAAAATTTGAGTGAAATATTTGATTTATTTTTATTTTTCAATATATTATTGAGAGAAGAAGAATTAAATCAATAAAATAATAAAGTAAAAACAATAGAAGAAGAGAAGAAAGGAAATATTGTATGAATTAAAGGAACAATAACATTTGTCGGCAATGTGAAGGCAAATTTTGCCATGTTGAAAAAATTAACACAAAAAAAAAGATTTATTATTTTTGATTGAAAACAACGAAATATTTCTTCAGTGTATTTGTTTTGACCTTTTCTTCGGAACCGATAAGTTCATTTTATCTGTGAAACAGAAACTCTTCGCTTTGCAATGATTTTCCATTGGTAAAAGATATAAGTTTATTTATTGGTTAAGTTGAAATGATGGATGAGGCCAAGCCAAGCTAAGCCAAGTTTTTCAATTAAAAAAAATAAAGCAAAGATCGGTCTATCTCTTTTTCATTTTCATTAAAATGACATAATATTTACTTAAATTTCCAATGGGAACTTAGAAAATAAATAAATTGTTAAATATTATAAATCTTTTGATTATATAATTTCAATTTTTTTCCCAAAAAAAAATTAATTAAAATTTTTTTTTTAGTCAAATAATTATTAGAAATTTATTTTAATTAATCATTTCAAAGATTTCATCAAATTAGCTGAAAATTAGAAAATGAATTTATTCACTTTGTTACCAACCATTTTAATTAATTCAGCAATAAATTGAAACGCGAAAATTATTCTATCATTCTTTTTACTTGTTTATTTAAATGAATGCTTTCGGATAACACCCTAATGGATCTTTGGTTGGTTTGATAATTATTTCACTTTTTTGTTAATTTAAGGATATGAGCTATCATGCATGGATAGTTCTAATCAAAGTTAATATATATTTAGGAAAAAATAATTGTATGAATAATTATTTGGTGTGAAAGTATTTTAGGATATAATATGCATCATTTATATATCAAACAAAAGATAGAAAGTAAATAAATATCTTTTGCAAAATTAAATACGAGAGTATGAGTATAAAATACGAGAGTATAAAATATGAGAGTAATGATAAATATGATAAAGGGATCAGCTAACAGATAAATAATTTTACAATAATTTATTTTAATTTAAACAATTCCTTTTCTATTAAAATTTATAATAAAATCAGAAAAATGAATAATATGGTTACAGCTATTTTAATCTCTGCAAAAAACGTTTTTATATCATAAATATAGCCGATTATATCAATTATTCATATCCTCTTCTCACAATTTTCCAATTTACAAGTTTTTCAATTTACACTCATACATTCTTAATTTCATCAATTTAATTAACAAACCAATAGACTTTAAATTTTATGCCATTTTCTCTATTTTATTATCAGTTTATGAAATCTTTGATTGATTTTTAAATTATGAATTATTTTAAAATTTTTGATTGTTTTTAAATTTTGAATCATATATATATATATTATATTGAAACATTCATGTTTTCAGTTGTATATGTACCAGTTATTTCGTGCATTGGCTTATATTCACAGCTTGGGCGTCTGTCAT